GTCAGGATTTTCGGAACAGTATAACATGACCAATCATGTCGCGCGCAGCATCATTACCGACGCCTGCTGGTCACTGAAAAATACCACATACGATTGAGTTGCTATGTGAATTCTGCAGCTCCTTACCATTCACAGCTTCATTGTTGGTTGCGAAACTCTATTATGAATGTTGTGCCGGTGCTCAGCTGTTGCATGTGCATATTGTTTGGTACCAATTGTACCGAAAGCGTTGAAGTACCACTGGTCAATGATCAACTCTTGTGTTTCCTCGCCTTCAATGTTTACCGCATAGCGGAGGGGCACTTTCTGCAAAGAACCAAAACATTACCGTGCTTCAAGATGGATGAATGTCCTTATGCGGAGCTTCCTTGCGTGCTGCATCTCCGTGACATTTGGCGTGCTCGTATAGTCGGAAGACTTAAGAAATGTGCAAGGACGCAACGCTTAGAGCATATTCACGTTGGCCAGTTAAAGGAGTACTGACACAGTTTTTTTAATATTTTGGGATTGCTGTCCCTAGAAAACAGGAAAAAAAGGACTGTAGTGCCTGGGAATGCATCATATACGTTTTTAGTACTACAATCATAAAAATTGTTTTTCGGTTTTGATGTCGAGGGTGCGGCTTCCACGTGACGTGTCTCGGCAGGTCGACGTCACGGAGAAACGCCAATTCGCGACGTACTAGCGGTAGATCTGCCATCTGCTCGTAGTGCACGTAAACAAGAATGAGTGCGTTGTCTCCAGTGACTATGACAGGGTTTTTTGTACTGCATGCAGAACGCTGATTTTGACAACTTAGTGGAACTGTGTTGATACGTCTGGAGAATGTCTATAGTGGTGGGGCTGCCTTGCCCTATACTCGACGACGAAAACATTGATATCAAAGAAAATATTTCATACATCTTGGCTAACTCCAGTGTGGGGAAAGTGTTAACACTGCATAACAAGAAAGCTTAAAATGCGCCTTTTGCAATGTCTCAAGTTTGTGCTGGTTTACCTTTAGAGAGGTTATGTAACCAGGTTGGTTGGAAGGCAAGAATCGCTTACCGTAGACCACAATGCACTCTCGAAGCTAATCGAGCAAGAAAAACACACACACACACACACACACCTCTAACGAAAATTTGCATAACGGAGATGCAAAACTTTTTCACTTCTCTTTCGTGCTAAATCACAAGAACCTGTAGGAGCTTAGGGCGTTATAATGTTTCAAAGCTTCTCCGGCCTCTATGACGAAAAATGGTCACTTCGCCTGAAAAAGAACCTCTTCGTAGAATGCAAGCAGAGACTGATGCTTAAGATCGTGTAATGTTTTAAATCACCAGCGTGAACATCGCAGTAACTTTGATGCCCATGGCGTTTTTTATTTTGAAGTTAGGCAAAAAATTGAGAAAAGCAAAATTTCGAGTCAATACATCAATGGTCGCTTTCGTCATAGCTTCTACCGCTGGCATTATTCCTACGAGAAAATCACAGCAAATTGTGACGTTAGACACATTCGCAAAGCGAAACATCGATGGAAATAAGCATAGTTACGCTCTAGCGCTTCTTTCGATATGCAAGCGGTTGCACACCCTTCTCACGTGAAAACGCGTTACCCTTTCGACGTCACAAATGAATAACCTCGCGTTGCAGCTAAAGGAGAAACAGACGGAGGTCCAAGTGGGTAGAGTCCCCCGTGCTACCGATGGGAAGAGAGATGCGACAACCGACGTTCTCCGTAAACCAGGCGGTTCAGCACCGGCTATTCTAGCCCCTGAACAAGCGAAGGCCGCTGCATCGACTCTTTCTCCTGGGTCGTCGGAATGTCCTGCGTCTTCTCCAAGCCCCGCGGCCTCTCCGGACAAGCGCCGCAAGGGCAGGCAATCGCTGAAAGCCTTGGACGAGTTGCTGGAGAATCGCGTGGCGACTGCCGCAGGTGAGTTCTTCGCGTGAAAATTGTGAAGTTGCTGAGGCGATTTCTTTGTACGCCGTGTTTCCGAAACATCTGGCATCGCTGTGAACACAAAAGATACCGAACATAATGTGACCAAGCGTCAAGTCGTGTGAAGTCAGAGGTGACTTCATTCACGACGTAATCCAGATGCCACTAGGGGCGTATGACGTTGTAAGATCAACTCACTGCTTGCTCAAACGTGGGTTTTTGCCAAAGGTGGTAACAAGAGGTGAGGTGTGCGATAGCTTTTGAGGGTGAAGAGACTAGTAATATACTGGTAGTGTAAAATTTAATGAGAGACTCATAAGCACACGCTTTCGCCTGTAATGTCCTTAGTGGTAACGAAATAGACTGTCAAATCTGTTAGAGATTCGTACTCTTGTGAATTCTTACTGATGACGTCCAAAAAAGATAATGCGTTTACATGACTACTCATTGAGATTGTAAGCTTGCCCTGCAGTTTTGTCGTGACAAAAATTGGCTTTGAATTTTTAATTTCTTTGGTGGCAGTTAAAAGGGCTGTGTTTATAGTTCATAAATCTATCAATACAACTTTTTGTAAAATATCTTAAAAATTCTCTAAAGCTCATCAAAGTAGAACTTGGTAGTTTTTAAGCTTATGTGCCTTTCATCATTCTCAGGTCACCTGCACCTTTCTATCAACATTTATCATGTAGCCACTCTTTCAGTCTTGCCAATCATGACTGCTAAGAATTTGGCTGATCCTATGTACCATTGGAATCAATGTCCTGGGAAGCATTAGGAGGGAAGGTGAAGGTTACGTAATTTTTTTCTAGAGGTAAACGTTACGAAATTACACTAAACACTTGTACAAAGCCACACGCACTGACATGTATGTTGAACAATCACGTATGTTCTTTGTAACTAACTTCCTACAGTTTCGGAACAATGCCAAGAACAATACTAGTATTACCAACACCAGAAGCGGTGAGCTGAAATGTAGCGCTTGTGCTTGCGGATTTGGTAACACTGGATAGTGCTACCTAGACGTACTTCAGTGGATGGCGCTTAAGTTTGACGGCTGTATCATAGGAGCGCACACGTAATGTTTTTGTTTTTTTAATTAGATGGGAAACACTGCAACTACAGTTCACGTTTCACCATCATTATGCCTGCATAGGGTCTTTCTCCAAAAGAAGTACGAGACCTGGCGTGGTTCTGTGGTAGATTAGTTGACTGCCACGCAGAATGCTTGGGTTCGATTCCTGCATTCATTGCACTCATCGGTTCAACGCTGCTTATAACGACTTTTTTTAATCCCTCGGTAGATCTAAACTGCCAGACACCTGTGACGCATCCCCGCATACTGTGGCCCGTCATATGTGCCACACGTCTCTGGTGAAAAGAAGTTTGACGGGCTGAGCGACGAGATTCCCACATTAGCCATGTCATAACCAGACAGTCCTAAACGTCTTGCCTTTTTTCCATGACAGTAATTTCAATTATTTGCTTTCCAAAATTAAGAAGGTGATATTGAGAGAACCCACTCGCAGGCGTCTAGATAGATAAGATAGATGTTGATAGATAGCTATTTTTCAACTGATAGTTGATAGATTGATAGATAGATAGATAGATAGACAAATAAATAAATAGATAGATAGATAGATAGATAGATAGATAGATAGATAGATAGACAGACAGATAGATAGATAGATAGATATGTAGATAGATAGATAGATAGACAGATAGATAGATAGATACATAGATAGATAGATAGATAGATAGATAGATAGATAGATAGATAGATAGATAGATAGATAGATAGATAGATAGATAGATAGATAGATAGATAGATAGATAGATAGATAGATAGATAGATAGATAGAATACACTTACCATCCAAAGCGCTTGTGCTACTACTAGCTCAGTTGACGGGTGGCACAGAGCTTCTCGCACCGATTGCCGCGCTTAATATGTAAGTACAGCAAGACTTGATGAAAACTTTGTGCTGTTTTTCATACTTGTAATTCATTGGTGTTCAATTTGCGCCCAGGAATGTTTTCAAAATGGGCCAACACTTTGGTAATAAAAATGCAACTAACGCCCTCTGAATGTGAGCCAAAAGCTTTTTATGCTGAATGGCAAATCTGGTCGACAATGCGATCATAAACCTTCTCATTCGTATTCCAGGAACCATCTCAAGCCAGTGTGGCCCCCAAGAGACACCGCTTTCCGTACGAGACCAAAATGTTGCTGGCAGTGCCTATCATTGTGATAATCCTCGGATTCACTTTCCTGCTGCTGTACCAGAGGCCAAAGGCGCGTCGTGTTCAGTTCTGTGTCACGAAAGGTTGCCAGGAACACAGGTAAGACATAGACGAACAAGTGCGCCTGCGGAATAAGGTGCTTAGAGCCTGGTGCGTCACAAAAATCATGGAATATGGTAGGCCAGTCCAACACACAAAATGCATTCAAACCTCAACAAAAATATATGGGTTTGGCGAGTTTGATTACCATTAAAGTATATTGACGGGGATTCCAAAGTTGCATAGCACCAACACACACGGACAATAAACTGACTACAGCAAGAGAACTAGCTTTCAAGTTGAAGATTAGCGCTTGTCTTGTATCTTTTTGGTCCTTGTCTGTAAGAGCTATGGCACCTATTGAAGCAAATTATCAAATAGCCGAAAAGCCACGTTGACAAAGGATGCCGAGCCTCAAAACTGCATTCATTCATTTTTAAATAAAGTATTTGCGGACGATCCGAATGCACTTTGATGGAGTCTATCTATCTATCTATCTATCTATCTATCTATCTATCTATATCTATCTATCTATCTATCTATCTATCTATCTATCTATCTATCTATCTAACTTGGCTGCTCAATCTATTCTTCGACATACACCACAAAAAGCATAATGTACAGCAAGTGTGTGACTAAGAAATGAAAGGTTATGACATAAATATCAGTTCATGCTGACAGTATACGTGTGATATAAATGACAATATAATGTGGCTCTCATGGCATTCATATCAAGTTTGTTTACCTTTGTAATTTAATTTTGAGGCGACGAAAAACACTACGGCATACAACGTACATAGACCGAACATTGAATGGGCACGACACTAAAGTCGCGTTATATGAATACATATAGGTGTCTCTACTAATTCATTTTCATCCTCATTCATTCATGAGAAATTTATTCATGTCGTACTTACTACAGTGCCGCTAAGACAACAAATAATGTTATTTTGCCTTCTTTTGCGTAACCTGAAGTTGGTTTTGTTTACTTATGCATGTAATGGTATGTTTAAAAAGTATTGGTGCTTTCAGGATTGTTTTGTGATTTGGTGTGACGTGACACAAATTAACGTCACGGGTTGTTAAGGTACTACGAGCATAATTGATAGATCATGGCATGAATGCTATAGTGTTCATATGTTCTCTATTGTGGCATGGACGATATATATGCCATCACAAACGTGAAGCCTTTGGCGACGTTTGGTTAGCGTCGTATATAATGGAATCCACATATATGCATGGACTAGGTTCTCTAATGAATGGCATGAATGGCATAAACGAGGGTTTATGGCATATACGAGGGTGTAGTCTTCTATTTACCTTTTAGATCTCAACATGTAAGGTGTAAAACAAGTGTCAGGACATACCCTGTGATCTATATCAGATTTAGTCGTACAAAACTATCATGTCTTGCAAATTTGTTTATAGTGTTTACCAACTATTCAGCTGGACTAACTTCTCTGACTTTCTGTTGCGTACATTCCACTTACTGAAGGCTATTAAATTCTTATCTTGAATATTTATGGTTAACTGGTGACAAACACAGCCCTTAGCGTGATAAGTATGTCCTATTGGTGGAAAAGGCCTGCCTGCAAAAGACGTCATGTACGGGTATAGTGCTGCACTCACTTCGCCCTTATACTTGCGCTCACTCCCTCCGATGCGCTGTTATCACGTACGAGTGGCTGTAGGTTCGGGAGTGCTGTTTCGTTCTCCACAACCTTATCCATACACATTTACTACTTCTGAAAAGCAGGGTGGCTCCGTGGAGTTTTTGCACCCACTTACGGACTCATGGGCCACCACATTTGCTCACCACTCAACTATATATAGCTAAATTGTTCTCGCACACCTCCTGTACCTACTTGGCTGTGCGGAGACGCAGCCTATGGCATTTTTTGGAGTCTGTAGATATTCTGCTTGTTGATCTGCATGTGGCCCATGCTAACAGAGTACCCAGTAGTAGCCTGAACACGTCTATTTTCACGGTAGAAATTCGATAACGCCAGTGAATAGATGGTTTTTTCATAGCAATTGGTGGCTTCTGATGTTGCTGACTTCTTTTACTTTGCAGGGACCGTATAGAAGCTCAGATTGATAAGGACGTGGAGCCCTGTGAAGATTTTCGCGCTTACGTCTGCGGTCACTGGACGGGTAGTGGAAAGGCGTACCAGTCACGCTCCCAGATGAACGACATGCGCTTGCACTGGCTTCACATGTTTCCAGAGACGCTGAGAAAAGGTTTGGTCCACTTTCCCGCTGGCAGGAAAGTTGATGCTATGTTCAAAAGCTGCATGGCGCAAAAGGGGCCCAAAATTGCCATCATAAAAAAATTCATGAATGCCCGGGGTATCCTCTGGCCAGAGAAATCGCCCGAAGATATACCACCAGCTATGGCCCTGTTCGACCTTTCCTTCAACTGGAACGCCGACCTCTGGTTTGCTCTGAGGGTTCTACCAGCTGTCCCAGGGAAAGTACAAAGGCGTATATTCTTCGGAACTAACGACGAGATTGTACTATGGAAAACTTTGATGCAGACGATCCCGAAGAAACACTTGGAAAGCGTGTACACTGGACTCTTTAGAATATTCGCTAACGACTCACGCAGTACGCCAGACAACGATGAAATGTCACGAACAATTGACATTCTCGAATACGTTTTCAATACCCTAGCGCCCACCGGTCCTTCCAGAACTCGCACGGGGGCCTTGTTTCGCCTGGGCGATATTGACAATGTCACTTCTCTGCCCATTGCGGGGCACATGAAAGACATGCTCAATGCCGCTCTGAGAATTACTCCTCCTGTCACATTGGACGAACTGGTGCTTGTGAGTGACCTGTCTGTGTTCAACGGCATCATGACGATACTAAGCCGAGTCAATGACACAGCGCTGCTGCGCCATGTGTCATACCTCTTTGTAGAAACGTACGCAGCAGTAGCCTACCCAAGAAGCTTTCTGCTTATAATGTATGGTAGTGAGGAACATGCTAAAGAAGCACGGCCTCGTTTTTGCGCTCATCGAGTCGAGCCAAGCTTCAAGCTTCTTCTAGCGGCCTTGGCTTCCGTCGCTCATTTTTCGACTGAGGAACGGCAAGGTATCATCGAACATCTAGAACACCTTGGGCAGGTGGGTGTTTCACAACAGCTAAAGTGTGAGGCTGGTCTTCCTTCGTCAAAGTTGTCCAGCGCTATGTCTCTCAACAAACCCAAAAGCTATGATAGAAGAAATGATGTCATTTCTTTTGAAGTGTATGTTGCAAAAGTTGGCCATAGATAACTTTCAGAGACAAAAATACGAGTCGGCAGCTAACCACTTTCTGTCTCCTTTTAGGTGCCGTGATTTACGACTGCATCAAATACTTTTTGCTGGTATTATTCAAACAGTGGCCGCGAGGGTAGGGTGTGTTCAATGGAAATGTGCATCTCATTAATAAAATGATAGCTGCTTAGGATGATAATGTTCATTATGCTGGAGGGGCAAAGAAGGGACAAAAACTCAGAGTTGATTTAGAGTCTGTGTTAATGAATGGTACATCAAATGTATGAATGTATACCAATCAGGTAATATGAGAAATACACGGAATACCCCCAGCTCCTATAAAAGGCTTTCTTAGCTTACAACATGGCGTTTGACTCAGGCGAGACATGAGCAGTAATTCAGGCGAACCCAATAAAGAAAGATGTAAGGTGGAGAGACAGGACTTTTTCAACGCTATTCACCGCTTGTTTGCAGGAGGTCTTCAGGGCCCTATACTGGGACGAGTTAGAAATAACACATCAATAGAGAGTAACCTTATTAGCCTGTGATTCGCTGATGACATTGCCTTGACGAGTAACTCAGGGGACGAGTTACAGCTCATGATTGCTGAGCTGCACACGGAAAGCAGAACAGTATAGGTATGAAAATTAAAATGCACAAAACAAGTGTGTGACAGTCTCGACAGAAAACAGCACTTTGGGATAGATAAACCACGCTGCAAATCGTAAAGGTATATATCGACTTAAGACAGGTAGTAACCGCGAGGCGAACCGTGAGAGTAGCTTTTATTGTATAAAGTTACCCCACTTTAGGATAATTGTGATTTTGCGCTTTTTAGAACGTGCGGCCTCACACAGTTCCACAGAAATGCCACTAATGCGCGTACTGGCGAAGTGGTTGTTTCTTCGCCTAATTTGCTGGCTGACATACAGTAAGTTTTATGGATGTGCCACAGTTATGACAGACACTAAGTAGTGCCTCCACCACAACAAATAAGAAATGGGGACGTCAAAGACGAAACCAAGGGTAGTGCGCGGGATCGCAGTTTACACAGGCATCGGAATAACTAGTAATCGTCACCGAGCAAAGCATTGTTCTTAATTGGGCGACTTCATTTTAAGTTCAGCGCCGGCAACCATGATGCCACCATAAGTGGTGCATACTTGTGGCTTCGTACCCCCTTCTTCTCTCTTCCCTAAGCCCCTCTGAGATCCTCTGCCACCATATTATAGGACAAGATGCTTTCCACAGTTACCTGTCTGCCAGGTGCATGCAGTTTATTTTGAGGGGCTGCAATGGCATGAACGCACCTTCGAATACAGAGCGGTCAAGTGCATGGTAGGCATGATGGCAAACGCCCGGCTGGCATGTATTGTATGCGCTTCCTGCCATAAACGCTGGTGCTACGCGCAAGTTCTTAATTATGATGCCACGCGCAAGTTCTTAATTATGATGCTCAACGCGTGTTTTATTGACGACTTGACAAAACAGAGGTCGGCAAAAAAAAAGCTAGACTGAAGCTAGACTTCAACCATATTTTAAGCGCGACTGGTATTACGGTAGCCTGCTTACTCAACCAAATCTGGGATTCCATGGAAAAGTCGCCTTGACATTTAAGGTTCCACCTGACTGGTTGGCTCGAATGTTCTAGTATTATTTTGTATATCACAAAAATTGTTTCCCTGGTGCATCAGTTGCACGAGCACATAGGGAATTAATTGTCACTAATATCATTACCTGCGGCTTCACGACAAAGAAAGGAAAAAAACAGTGCTGGTATTTTAGCGCTGTTTTCTAATAAAAATTCATTAATTGTTCAGTAATATGAACGGTACTATTAGACTACAAGTGCGGTGATAAAATTACACGACATGACTACTTTGCCTATTAGCTTCAATTCGGATTTCCTTTTCAAATCCCCGCTACGGCAACAATGGCTAGTTCGCACTGACACCCTGTCCCTTAAACGAGGTAACACTGGGCGACTCAAGGACCACGAGTACGAATTCTGCGTAACTTGCATGTAGGACGCCGCAATGTTCTTTCCCCGCAGGTGGCTGCAAACAAAACGGGTGCCACCTCATGGTTGGACTCGAGGATAAAGAAGCGAGCCGTGGAGAAGCTTAGCAGTGTGCATACTGTCGTATGGCCTTCGGAGGCGTTCTTGTCTCAGAGTCGGCTCGATGAAGTTTACAAAGATTTTCCCGATGACGCCCCGTCTTTCACCGAGTTCTGGATTGAGACACATCGCAGACAGCGTCTGCTGTTCGGCACTGATGCGGCTTCAGAAGAGCTGCTACTCGGTGACAATTACGATCTGCCATATGTCCGTTACATAGAGGTACTCAACCACCTCTCTGTCTGCATCGGAGCACTGGCACCGCCGCTCTACTATCGAGATGGCACCATGGCTATGCTGCACGGCGGCCTCTTGTACCTCTATTCTCGGGCACTCATCAGCGCCATTGAAAGCGAGGGAGTCGAGGTAAGGGGGCACAAGGGTGAGACCCAAAGGAACCAGTGAAGCCTTAGGGAAAACTTTTAGTAGCGCAAATGTTCAAACACTTTTTCATAAGTAATGGTAGGTCAGCATTCAAGTCCGCAGTCTCTCCTGACACGGAGCTAGCTACAATAACAATTCATTCAGGTTGTCAAACTAGTTTATGCCTCTTACGGGTTTTTTTTTCTTAAATCACTCAAATGTATATTAAACAATTTAGCTAGTTCCATACACTGTGATAATTCATCAAATGTTACGCAGGAGCGAGGAGCTGCGTACATTGCCTTGTTTGGTTTTCAGTCAAATGAAGTCATGAAGTTAAGCAAAATGAAGTCATTGATGTCATGACACTTAGTTTCCGTATATCGCACTTTTGTGATGCATGCACGCATATAAAATCTGGTATTTGTCACCCTAATAAAGCGCATATTGTGGTATATGCGATAAATCACTTGTCATATGCTCGTCAGGCACTCATGTCCTGCCACACTAATTTTGGTATATAAAACAGAACAGTCGGGAACCCACCATAGTACAGCGTTATGTCAACCGTGCCGTGCATGACATGTGTGTCACTATTTGCATTCTTGGACCTGTCATTTATGTTCGGCATATAGTCATGTCACGTACTAGCGAATTTAGTGCTTTTCAAGCTAGTGAAATGGCTGCGAGCACGCCATGAGCGTTGCGTGTCATGCTGTACGTGACATGTATGTCAAGACTTTCATGTTACCACCTGTGATTTATTGTCATTTATCCGTGCGAAGCAGCTTATGGTCGAGCCTGTTTCCCCTCGGCGCCACCCACGCACCCTCTGCGCATGCCCAACAGCTGACCCAAGCTTCCGAACGAGACCGCTAGAGGCGCCAAGGCAGCTCCACTAGATGAAAATGACCCGTGCAGGCTCCGCTCTACCACGGCCACTCAATTCTCCCCTAAAGGACAGATCGAGCGGTCGTGTCTCTACTCAATCTCATCGCGATAACACGAGTGTGAATGCCACTATGCACAACCAGCAGCAATGCTAACACTTTTGTTGAGGAGAAGAGGGCTCGAGCCATTGCTGCGAAACGGCAGCGGTGGCAAACCGACCCCGAACTTTGACTGAGAGAATCAGAAGCTCACAGTAAGCGCCTCCTGCAAGAATCCACAGAAGCAACGAGAAATCGCGCAGCCGAAGCGAAACGTCAACGTCGACAAGCAAACGTCGAAGCGGCGCGAAAACGCGAAGCCGAAGGGCGTATTCACACTTAGCCCCGAACAGAGCGAAACAGCTAAACCTCCGAAAACCGGCTCGTTTCACCGCCCAAGCGGCCGGAAAATCATGCCGCACGGCCGGCACGCAACAATCAGTTTGAGACTGATTTTTCCGTCACGCGAAAGCGAATCCGGTTTCCGGTGCACGACTTTGGCAGCGCTAGATCAAACCACGTGATCTAACCATCCGACCGAAAATTAACATGGCGGTAAAGGCGTCGGTGGTGGCTCACATCGGCCCAAATCACGTAGTACCCGTGCAGCACAACAAAGCTTCACCGCCTCAACGAGGACGTGTTCATTGAGATCTTCGTTTGGATTACGATCGCCGAGAACTCTGAAATTAGGCGGTGCAGGAGCAGCGAGTCGGCATGCCCCAACGTGTCTCGCTTTCGTGTGCAGTCGATTGAATAAGCCGCCACCGCTGCCGGTGCGTTCGCTCGTGTCGCTTCTGCTGGCGTATCTCCGAAAACAACGTTTGAAAATGCGCGAGCTCTTTATTTTCAGTGCCTGGCGGGAATAACTAGAATTCGGCACAAACTTTCGTTCTGAGAAAGCAGGCTAAAGCGAAATAATTGTTGAGGTATCGACGTCAGCGGCAGCGGGATGGGCAGGACGAATGTAAACATCTTCGGCGCGCGCAGTCGTGTTTTTCCTGCGGCTATGGCATTTTCGCTTTCGCTTCTTTTTCTAGTGGGAATGCGCTCTTACGTTTCGCTTCGGCTTTGGTTTACGTTTCGTTTCGAAGCGCTACTGCAACAATGATAGTTATAGCGCGAGAACAAAACGATGACACAGAGACAAGAAGGACACGAAAGACATGTCTTGCCTCTGTGTCGTCGTTTTGTTCTCGCGCTATAACTGTCGTCATGCCATACCAATTAGCGCAAGCTGCCACACTTCTAAGCTACTGCAACGCGAGTCAGCGGCAAAAGCAGCGATACGGTTGAAGCAAGGCAATCCGTTCGTTGCGTGACTCTACACATTACGGACCACTGGGCCGTTACACTCGAGAGGAAACGCAACCCTGAACTTAGGAAGTCATCTACTGTGGTGATGTGTAAATAAAAGGCAACTTTCGCGCTAACTTTACGGAAGTCAATCCATAATCTGCTTCGCATGCTTCCCAAGGTACCCTTTACGAGGATATATTTCTTTTTCGTCACACACATATCTGGCCATTCTAATTTAATTTTATATATCCATTTAATTGAATGACCGAAAAGACTTTGACACCATTGTATGTAAATCATGCTGGGCATGCCATGTAAGTGACGATCTTCTTGTTGCCACCTTCATTTACGTTTGTCATACTGCCAAGTTCCTTCCTCAAGTTTTATTATCACCGCGCTACACTGTACGTAATTCTCAGCGCAAAGCGTGCGCCTGCAGTGTTAGAGAAGCTTCGAGTCTGTAGTAGGTCATTTAGTTAAGATTAGCGCGCCCACTTCGTGAAGATTACAGCATATCTGAAACTGACGTTGTCGCTAGCGATAATGCTAGGATATTCGACGGCACGTGTATAAATGTCGACGCGCTTCAACGCTTGTCAGTTAGTGGACGGCCGACGCTCCGTTCGCCGCTATCAGCGCCGGTGTGTATTGCTGTAATCTTACTTTTCGTTTGTCGGCCACAAGTTCGGCCTAAATAAACAGTTTCACCTTCAATCTACAGTCTGCTCCCTTCGTCCCCTTCAATACGACTATGTTGTCCAGCACCTATTTTAGAGTGTAAAGCCAGCGAAACGCATGTGAGCGTATACCGTGAGCAGGGCATTTTTAACTTAAGCCCTCGACGACATTCATGTCGTGATTTTCATGTGGCTACCTGACATTTATGAACGAAAACTACCATGCAATAATGCCAAGTAAAGCATAGGAAATAATATTATCACTAATTTTAATGTCACCATGAAGAGAAAAAAAGCGGATGAAAGGATAACTTGCCCGTGGCAGAGACCATCCCTGACGGCGACAAGTTTCCTTCTGTTTCTTCACATGTACACTACAATTTACTACTGACATCTCTCATACTTTGCTTCCCACTGTTGTCTGCTAGTTCACAATATTCCTTGTGTCTAAAAAAAATACTGCTCTTGAATTCACCACTTCTTTCATTTTACTGACATTTATGTTCATCACGAAATAATGTGCCATAAAACCGCTTTTGGTGTGCATTTCCTAATTAAATGACCATTAGTGCCCCGATACTACGGAGGGCAAATATTACTTTACGTGGCATGGGTGTCATGATTAGCACGTTATCTTCGATGTCGGATGAAATGCTTGAGGCCCTTGTATTGAATTTTGGGAACACTTAAAACAACCGATGTAGTCGAAATACAGATCCCTGAACGACGCCGTCTCTTATATTCAAATTTGTGGTTTTGGGAAGTCCCCCCCAGCCTACACGCAGGACTACACAGTACGACACAACACAACACTTAGACTTCTAATGAATTATGTATTGAAACAAATAGCATACGGAAGGGCGGCATAATAGATGGCGGTTTGTTTTTCTGACACTTCTCAGTGACTTGGCACTTGAGTGTGTGCACTGGAAATACCTATGAATAGTTTGCGAGGATTAAAGTCAAGCTGAAATTTAGTGACTTTTCTGTGTCGTTCTGGGCATTCTGCGCCTTGTCTGACCGATGCTAGCATAGATTCATCAAAAACTGTAGCTGTGACTTGCTCGCACTTGTGGCTGTTGTATATTGGAGTGTCTCCGTGTTTGTGTAGTTTCCAATGAGCTTTGAATTTTTCGCAGGTTCTGCTTTTCACGTTGAGAGAAAAAAAGAATGTCTCATATGAACATGTAAACGTACTTGGTTGCAAGCTTGCCCACTATTTGTAGCGTATATGTTACAACGTAAGCACTGCTCGCAGATTGACTCTCAAGGCGAGACAATGACGTCACAACCGAGTGACAAGGCGCCGGGCACTTTTGAGGAGCGCGTTCTCGGTTGTCTGCCCGGAAATGCCAGCATCTTTCCTGAGATTCCTGCAATTGAAGTGGCCTACGAAGCTTTTAAGCTGCACCAAGGAGACAATGACACCCAATTGTCAGAGGTGGGCAGATATTCGCAAGCCGCCTTTTTAGTCTCACGCATGCTTCTATTTTTACTAGAGTAATAGAATACAAATGCGCGCAGTAGGTCAGGACTAGAAAATATATATCATAGCTATGCCAATACATTTGCATTTTTCTCAACGCCTCAATATTTTAGTGTCTCCATCATTAGAGGAACGACGTTAGTGTGAGTAAGATAACACGATGCAGCATATCGCCAGAGATGTTGATCTTGCAGGGAACATGATAGCAGGTATCGGTCGAAGTGTGCGCATAACAATATTTTACTCTAATGAATATGATTTTGTAGTACACTGCGAACAGGTCATTCTCCAATTAGGAACTACGCTGGTCAATTTCTGGTCAATTTCACAGGACGCCCTGCATGCGTTGTTTGATATCGAAAGTGGAGAATATATACGAGGCATTGGTTTTTAGACCGAACGCAATGACGAGGCAGCGGAGAAGCGCATCGGTGGTTCGCTAACAAAGCTGTTAGTGCGTCTTGACGAAGGAAGCATGCAAAATCGAGACGACACAAAAAAAAAACACAGCATTTGAAAGTATTCCAGCATATGCTTTGGCTAGCCTTGTCACAATTTCTAATATGTTTTTCCCTCATAAGTGGACGCCGGTCACAAGGCATTTAACTATTATCGTTTAAAAATACCTAGGCTCCTATCTGTAACAAAGAA